TAAAATACGGTTTCAGTTCACTACTGATATATCTATATTTATTACTAGAACTGTTTTTCGAGGTGAAAAGCATATGAGCGTGTACTTAATTTGCATTAATAAATAAAACTTCACATATTACCCAAATATACTATAATTCAATCTTTCATTCAAGGCGCTTCAAAGTTTTTAACCTAAAAATTAATGCTTATTTTGGATCACGGAACTATTATATTTTAGTATAATTTCCTGAGCAAAAAAACTTGCTTTCAATAGTTTTTGAAACAACATATATTTTTTCTGCAAGTGTAATAGCGAGTGCCGCGTACGTGAAACCAAGACTGACTTTGTACTTGTACTTTGGGCCCGAGTTTCGGGTCTTATTTATCGGCCCACGATGACCTAATGTACGCAAATATTTGATCCCATTTGTGACACAACCAATACATAATCGTACTACTCGTATATACTTATATGTAAGTGCTCAAGTGATCGCTGGTAGCGCATAAGAAGGCGCCCCCTGATTCTGATAAGCGTGTGCGATTACATATTTGTGAGGCGATCGGCCTCGGCATGAACTGCCCTGAACTGTATGCCTCCTATACTAAAGAATTTTAGGATTAAGTATTACATGACATGTCGCTGATAGCATTTAATGAGAAATTGGAAAATAAGTACGAGCACATACATGTAGTAAATGGTGTTGTGATAAGGGAATTTCTTTAAATGTTGCATAAGGTCGTGGGACTATCTAAGCTGGTAGCTATAAAGAAGTTTTCATTGTTGCTGGCCCGGAATCCCCTTAAAGAAAAAAAAAAGAACAGGTTCAATGAACCGCCTACGCAGCATAATAAGCGTGATATGCGTGATATGTAAATGCAGACAACAACAACAACAACAACAACAAAAGCAACAACCGATCAAAATCACAGAACAATGAAATTCCTGGAATTCGATCAAGGGTAACGAGGCATATAATAAATGAATGTTCCTGTGGCTGTGCCTGTGCCTGTGCCTACCACCACAAGGAATGCCAACAAATCGACAAGTGTTTGCATTTAAATTGAAATAATTAAATGCCAGCAAGAAGCAGGAGCAGCAAAAGAAATAATAATAATAAAAAAAAAGAAACGGCGAGGAAAAAAGATAAACATGATGTGTGTGTCCCCTGCCTGAAAACCTCAACGCCGCATGCAGTCCCTGGCCAGGAAAGTGGCCTCAAGGTCCGTCCAAGCCCATGCACTTGCTGCACGTCCCGGCCCAGCGACGATGCGAGAAAGAAATATATTTATGCCCTTTCTTGAAATTCCTCAATATAAAATCAAAACTCATTAATATGCTGCATTGGTCGGGCCGTCTCAGCTTACGCTGTCGACGTCCTCTGATAAAAACATGATGGGGATGAGAATGAGGATGACGCTGACGATGATGATGAAGATGATGAGGGCTTGAATATACATGGGCTTGGGCATTATGTGCGGTTTGTTTGGCAGTCAGCCGATTAATACGCCTCATGCATGCCACGCCCAGCACGACAGCCGATCGTCGCAGCCTGAGGCTCATTTGTCCTTTGCTGTGCATTTTTCCTAAATGAGCCACGAAAATTAACAAATCTTTGGCTCATTAATTTGAACACTTGTTCGAAAAGGGCGTACATTTGTCTGGCATATTGAGTCGCCAGAGTCGCGCAATTTGTCATTAAAAAGGAAGGAACGTTTGCGTTTCCCTCAATCTCGTACCTGATCTCGGCAACTTGACGCTTATTAAAGCCAAACAAAAACAAGCCGTGAGTAATGTGAGACCCCTGCCCCGTCCTGCCCTGCCCGGCGACAATCGTAGGATGTGCAACGCAACGCATTGCTGCTTCTGCTTCCACTTCGGTCAAAATCAAACGTCATATTTCCAGGAATGTCAACAGAGATACGAGTATTGCACACGTGCAACAGAACCGAACCGAACTGAACAGATCTGAACAGAACTGAACAGACCAGCAGCCGCACAAATGTTCCTCAAGTGGAGGTCGCACACACACATCGACCGAGTGAGCGGAAGAGATAATGCACTGAGGGAAAGGGAAAAGAGTTCTAAGAATAAGGCAGCAAGTCTAAAAAATTAGTACTCCACTAGAGAACCCCTCCTCTATATTTCTACAGTCGGTCTAACGCTGTTATACATTTATGATAAAAATATTTTGTCGAATTTTTCAAATCTTCTGAGTCCCTATGCAAGCCTTCTTGAATCAAGAACGTAATTAAGTACACGATTCCGAAAATTCGATGAGATATAATTATAAATAATATATAAATGTATATATAAATATTCATCCTATTGATCTTTAATAATACAAAAATATGTTTTTCTTGGAAATGTTTTTATACTGAATAATTTTGAATAAATATAGAAACTGAATTTTGAAGAGAAATATGAATTATCATTGCGTCATTGAATACAAGCTATTTAATGATATATTTAACATATTTGCTCTGGGTGGCTATATTATTTCTAATTGTGTTCCATCGCTTTATTATTTATCAAAAATATTTCCACATACTCATTAATATTATTAATTAATGTATAGATTTTTCTTTTCGTTTTCAAATTGAACAAATTCGTAAGCTCCCAAAAAAATCAGACATACTATTATACACGTACCTTCATTATACAGGGTACACATTTCATGTTCAAATTCAATTGGACAACACTTTTTTCCCCATTAAAGGGTTGAATTTTCCCAATTGTTTGCTCAAATTTCTCGCAAGATTATTGTTGATCACTAATTGGTAATTAACAACAAGTTGTAAAGAGTCAATGGGTGTTTTTATTGAACCGCCTTCAAATAACTTCATTAAAGTGTGTTCGTCCGGCAATTGTTTCTGAACTCACCTAATGTTTTCTTCAAGTGCAAGACTAGGTGGTACCTGCTTTAGGTTCACACCGAACCTACCAACAAGCAGGACAACGTGGCGCGATAAAAATTATCAACGGCATATACATAGACGCACACGTACACGCACACACACATCCCCATAGAAAGAGCCACACTCTGAGAACTAGATGGTTAATTGCCTAATGGCTGCCTCTGCCGCTCAGCTCCGCTCCCCTCCCTGGCTGGTTGGCTGGCTGGCCTGGGAACAAGTGCCTCCTCGGAGTCGGGCGAAAATTGCCGTCAACTAATCGTCGTCGCTTGGCCAGCACATGTGGTACGCACGCTCAGCACATCAAGGCTATCTATCTATCTTTCTATCTATATTTATAGTATGTGTGTATGGATGTTTGCGCCGCATGCTGCGCTTGCTCCGATAAGATAAAGAAGAGAGCGCGGTTGGTCCGACTGGCCCGTTCTCGGGCTCCGGTCCGTTCTTGAGACAAATGTTTGTTTGCCAGCATTTTTCTTATCTGCGACATGTTTGCTGCGCCCGATGATAAGATGAAAAGTCGAAAAAGAAATGATGGGCCACGCATTTAAATGGAGACGAAATCGACCACGCCCCCAATATGTTAATAGCGACTTGATTGCAACTCTCTTTTCACCACGCACCTGTGACAATTTTGCGCCTGCCAATGCCTGAAATATGCAAATTTATGTGCAATTCGAAAAGGCCCCGGGGGCGAGCAAAACGAGTCCACGCATCAGACATCAGACCCCGAACCCGGACCGAGACCCAGACCCAGACCCAGTCTCCAGCAATTTCCATTTTGGGTGAAATTGCGAGCGGCTGCCCAAATAAATTACGCACATGATTAATAAAGAAGAAGAATGCAGAGGAAGGCCGAGAGGCCTTCAATTTTAGCCAAAATATTTTTATCGCTGCCATCGCTTTGCTGCGCATGCGCAGAGCTGCTCGCTTTGGCCGCTTTGGTTGGTGGCTACCGCGCATTCTCATAAATTAAAAGCCACGTTATTTGAATTCCCGAGCATATTGCAGGAGCCAAGTCCCAGCCAAGTGCTTGGCGCTTTTGTCAAATGAATTTTGCAGCTGCCGGCTGCCGGATAGTTTCAGGAGCTGTTCGCCGGCAGGAAGACACTGATTTGGATACTGTAATTCGTATTTGTCCCTTTCGCGTCTTTGGCAATTTTTCCACGCTGCTCAATTATTGTGTTTCGTGTTTGCATGCTTCTTGGGCTTCTGTCTCATTCTCCTTCTTGTTGTTGCTGCTGTTGCTGTTGCAGTTGCAGTTTTGGTTGTTGTTGTTGTTGCTGCTGTTGCTCACCAGATTTCCTGTCAAGAACACTTTTCGGCGCGGCCACGATGCAGACTCACAGTAGCCAATGGGTTACGTTTAGTTAGCCCGTTGGCGGCAATGTCTGCCCATGTGGAGGGTTTTCGGCACAGCCCGGGCTATTGTGGCTTTCAAATCTCCTAAATAGTTACTCCAAGCTCTACAGATTGTGGAAGTGGCAAGCTATATGGCTAGAACATGAGTTGATCAAGCCTATTTGAGAACGCTAGTACCATATCTTTTAAATAATAGTTAGAATATCCAATAAATAATCCACCTTTAATAAGTAGTATATGAAAAGACAGTATTCTAGGCAACTAGTTATATAACTAACGGGATTTTTTTATATTAAATCGATAAGGCTTACAATTCTATGTATAGAAAATGTTTAATATATTCAAAATAATTAACTAGTATTGTTTAAAGGAAAAATTGTTTTTAGTAATAATTGTGTATAAGTGTCTAGTTAATAGAAAAGATACTATATATATACTTGCCTTGACTTTAAGGGATCTAATATCACAAAAATACTAGTCAAAAAATTATTCTTAATATTAATAGTCTTCTTTGTTAATGTTCGTAATTGTTATTGCACAAACTATTTCGTTAAATTGGCATTCCATATTGAAGATATGATGTTTATTAAAAAGCGACGGACTGAAGCTTTCAAATTTCTATTAAATGAATAAGAAAACCTCATTAAATCGAGGCATCATACTATAAATAATAATAATAATAATTATATGCTATTCACTGCTTTTTCTTTGTTATAATAAAATTAATAAAAAAAAATCACTTACCACAGCACTAGTATGAACGTCTGAATGCGAAAATAATTTAATCCTTTTATCTGAATTTAATGAGGACGTCTTTAAATTTGATTTTCCATTTTTGCAGTAACCTGTAAAATAGACAATTTCAGGAAACTTTTAATTGTTTTTACCATTTAATTTATTAGAATTAATTATGATTATTTAATTATTAGAATCGAGACTTTATTAAGCTCTACCTAAATATGTCATAAGAATACCTCCTACTTATTACAAATATTTATGGTATATTTTTGTTAATATGTGAATAAGACCAGCAGTATTTGTCAGCTGCTACATGGCCCCTCAAATGTTTTCGTCAGGAAGACAAGCTTCCTCTGCACCTTCCCCACCGATTTCAAACGATGTCCCAGACACCTCCGAGGTGTCCTCCATTGAGTACAGCCCAACTATTACGCAGGGCCCCAAACTACATACCGACCAAACGAAGCATTGGGTCGTTGCTGAACTGAAAGACAAGAGTTTGATCTTTAAGTGGCCGGCCGAATGCGCTCCTCGACACCCCAAACCACTGCCCTGAGGGTAGGTTGGTAGGTAGGGTACACAGCCCCAGCCAGAGTCGACCAACACGTGCATCAGACATCAGACGTCAGACCAAATGCAGCACGAACGAATGGACCACGGCAGCAACAAAAACAACAACAACAACAGCATTCGTTGCAATTGTAAATTACGGCCTTTGCAACATTTTTGCGCATTTAGTCGCGCTTCGAGTGTTGCAGTCACAGCTGCTGACTGCGGCACTGTTGCGCCTGCGCGGCTTTAAGGCTGTGAGGCTGTGAGGCTGCGAGGCTGCCCGCAATTACAATTCACTTTGCGCCAACATTGAAATTCTCGTGTTTTGAGCGAAATAGCCAGGACGAAATCGGCCGTCTGTCTGTCTGACTGACTGTCTGTTTGACTGCCTCGCCATTTAATTTGCAGCTTGAAATTTATTTTTTTCGGCTCGATCTTTTTGCGCCAACTTAGTGGGCCGTCAGTTGGAGTCGGAGTCGCGCTCGTTGCCGGTACTTAAGTGTAATTACCCGTCCATGGCGATGGCGATTTCGACGACGACGGCGACCTCTTTTAGCCGCTTCGTGAACTTTTATTGTCTGCGTTGGGCTCGGACCTGGCCAAGAGCTCTGTAAATTGGCGCTTGCGTGCCATGTTACAGCTTGTTTGACTCCACGATGCTGGTGTCGTTGTCGTTTTCGCTGTCGCAGTCAGCCGCGGGCGTGATCCGTGTAACTGAGCCCTCCTTTATCTTGCCCGATTCAGATTCAGATTTGGCTTTAGCTTAGGCTTAAGCGCAGGCTTTCCTTTTTGGCGCAGTCAGGCTCAATGAGTTCTTGTGTGAGAAATCGCACACCACATAAAGTGCAATGCGAAATTGGCTGGCAAGTTAAGCGCATTGTTTAAAGGGGTGTTTTATTTATTTGTGGTGAAATTTTTAATGACCTGACTGGGAACTTGAAACACAACTGGTAACAAGCGCTTAAGCGGCGGCCAGATCGCCGCCTAATTTGATTTGCCTTTAATGCTGAATGACGGCATTGGGCATTACCTACATTGGGTGTTTCTTGTTTTGCTTTTTCTCTCTCCCTTTGTTGATTCCGAGTCTGCCATATGGTCTGACCTTAATGACAGACGATCTTACGCACAGCAATGACAACAGTAGCAATTGGAGGCTATCAAGGCCAACCACTTGATGTTTCCACTGGCATTCAGTTGTTCAAAGTTGGTTCGCACGATAGTCGTATCAAAAGTTGTACCGTCGAGTCATAGCCCAGACAATAATCGGGGGTTACATTCACAAAAAATTAACCTTAAAACGATTTACCCAATTTGCGATATTTCGAAGCATTTCACTGCTGTTTTTCTGTTTATTCAAGACTGCTCCTTTCCTTGCAATTACGACAAATTGGAAGCTTTAGCGGAAACATATATCGCTAAGAAAAATAGTTGTAGTACATACTTATTCAAATTAAAACGAAAATCAAATATCTGTGAGTGGTGTTCGGGCAACTTCAGTCCTCGTAGTTATGAATTGATGTAAAACTGTCAGACTGTCAGAGTAAGTTATGTTTACAGACCTACTTATAGACCAAACTTCAATTTCAATTGTTTAAAGTATTGCTAAAATGTTTTTCTAAAAGCAAGACACATATTTTCAAAAAAAAAAAAATTATCTGTACTTTTCACAGTCCGAGCTTAAGCATCGTTTTCTAAAGTGTGGCTCCAAACTTCATTTAAATGATTAAAGAAAGTTTAAAATAACTTAATTAGTGTTTCCTACAACAGTTCCGAACACTGTTTCGGACTTTTCAAAGCACTTTTCAAACACAAAACTATTATGCTGCACACCTTCTTTCCAAATACAAAATGTTAGCATCATAACTAACAGAATTTAAAAAAATAATAATAATAAATATTTTACATATTTAAGAATATTTCAAAGGCATTGAAAAATTATGATGTTAGGAAATATATTAAATAACTGCTCTAGAAACCCCATCAGTTAATAAAAAATGGCTTCAAATATTTCTAATTACGGAAGATATGGGAAGGCGGGGAAAGAAATTGCAGCTAACTCTATATTTGTTTACAAATAAGCCATGGAAAGTAAATTCCATGAAATGGTTTGTTGCCATAGAAAAGTACTTATGCTTTTCTATAAAAAAGGTGCTTTGGAGGGATGACGAACTTAATTGGTTTTTTATTTATATTTTTTGTATTATATTATTAAAGCCTTAATAAACTTAATTGTGAACTCGATTTGTCTGCAGATAATTTGTCTGTCTGACCGTTGCTTTATACATACTTGTTAAATGTGAATATTCGGCTACTTCCTCAACCGTGCGAATGTCTTGCTGGAGCAGCTTAATTTTCGGCTATTGGGCAGTTAAAATCCAGAAGCCAAACGTGGCTAGTTGGTAGCTGCTACTGTCTGCCCTGCTGGCGCAGCATCTGAGCAACTGTCTGACTTACCGCGGGTCTGTCTGCCAACTATGTCAGAGCTTGAAGCGTAATTAGGCTACTTGGTGTGGAGGATTCAGTGACCAGCTGCTCCAACTCGAGCTTCAGCTTCGGCTTAGCTTGAAAATATAGCGCAGCTGTGGCGCGAAAATTGTTAACACATTGCTGTCACTGCGCCTGCCACTGGGCTATGCAGCATGATATGGATGTGGATGTGGATGTAAATGCGACTGCAACTGCAACTGTGGCTGCGAATGTGGATGCGGATGCGCCACTCTTGCAACCTCAGACTGCAGCTTCGCAACTGCCAGACGCTTATCGCTGTTGACGTGCAGCAGTTTAATTGAAATTCGTTTCAAATGGGGCCCGAGAAGTTGGCATAGTTTGTGACTTCAGACGTGGTATTGCAGCTGCTGGTTGGCTGGCTGGCTGGCTGGTAGGCTGGCAGTCGGAAAATCAAGCGCACCCGCACCTAGACTGGATAATTGCAGTGTCTGCAGTTGCAGTTGCAGTTTCAGTTGCTGCCTCAATTGTTGCTGCAGTTGTTGCTACAATTGGCGTTCGCGTAAAAATGCTAATTAAAGTCGTTCGCTGGTTCGCCTGCTCGCCACCATTGCAAAGGGTCGACGGCTGTGGCATTTCAGACATTCGTGTCGCTCCATGGATAAAAGAAACAAAAAAAAATAAAATAAAATCAAAAAGATTAACGAGCAGAAAGAAATCGCAGCGTGAAGAAATGAACGACGTTGCCAGTGTACGATGGTTCCAAAGTAGTTAACTGTTTGCCAAAAATTTTCAACATTTTTATATGAAAAGGAAGAAATGGAAAAAGTTGCATAACCTTTGACTTTTTAAGACTTTTTGATCCACACAGATAATAGCTGTCATAGAATTGCCAAAGAAAGTTAATCCTGCTATTCTATTAAACGTTTTAATGGCAACAAATGTTAAAAAGTAAAATTATTAACTAATAATTTTAAACTTTTTTTATTTCATTTATATTAGTCGCTTTGTTATGCGAATGAAAGGACATGCCTCTAGATTTTAAATATTCAACATATTTATAACAAAATAAGTTCACTACTCCTTCAACAAAAAAATCCCCCGTTTCAAATAATTGTAATAATACGAATAATAATATATGCAGATTTAACAAGAAAAGCTCCCAATGTGAATAGAAATTGTATTCAGAATAAGTTAATTAAAGCTTTTAAAAATATTTGATACTACTTCACAGGCATGGCATATTCTTAATTTAAAATATTTAGTTTCATTAATCCATAAACAATTTAGATGGATGGAGATTTTGGACATACGAGTATACATTCATAATTACAATGAATGCCAATTACAGATTTAAAGCTAAAAATATTGGCTTTGGCACCATGGTGTAGAGGGACCAGGAGTAGTTGAAGGAAAAATGCAAATTGTTCGTTGATGAATTAACAAAAGCGAAAATCGTGACTTATGTTTTTGGCAGCTGCTTGTCGCAACTGTGTGCGCCAACGCCACCGCCACCTCCACCTCCACCGCCATCGCTAACAACAACTGAACTGAGCAGCAAACTGTCCAGCAATTGTTGTAGCTGCTGCTGCTGCTTATTGGCCGCTTTCCTTGGCAGCCTAGTTTGCTTTTGTGTGTAATTGTTGTTGTTGCTGTTGTTGCGTGCTAATCAATGACGCAGCTTTTTGGACGCTTTTTGTGTCGAACACCTGCAATTTATTGTGGCTGTGACTGCGACTGCGCAGCTGGCGTTCGGACTGATATGTACATGTATGTAACTAAATGACAGACATACATATGTACATGTATGTATGTATATGTATAAGTAATTGTTGCTGCACAACTTCCGCAAGATGAAGCTCATTGAGCTTATTAAGACAGTAATTTTCGATCTGTCTGTCTGTTCTGCCTGTTTATGATGGTTGCGGCCAAGGCAACATGTTGCCATGCTGTTATGTTGCTGGGCTTTGCAACATTTTAGTTGCCAGCAACTTATGCTCCCGCACGTTTTTCGCGTTGAACTTCACTGAACCTCAAGTTGAAGTTTCTTGTTGTTGTTGTTGCTGTTGTTACTGTTGTTGCTGCTCCAAAACCTTTACTTTTGTTGTCGTTATTGTTGTTGTTGCTGTAGTTTTTTCTAGTCGTGATTTGAAGTTTCGTGCAACTTACTCCTCCTCGTCGCCTGAACTTTTGTGGAGTCATTTAATTTTGTTTCATGTAAACGCAAAGCAACGAGAGTTGAGTTTTGAGCCGCCGGCAAGCATTTTAATGTGGCTGTCTGGCTCTTTTTTTCCATCGTTTTTCGTGAAATTTTCAAGTGGAATTTTAATGCTTTCGCACACCTGCATGAACAACGGTAATGTACCCTCTTTTAGTGCTGGCCGGCTGTTGTTGCTGATGTGGCGCTGCTTTTAATGAGCTGTAAAAATGTTTACTTGACATGCCCAAAAGCGCTGCTAATTAGATGATGGCATTTATGTAATGGCAGTCAAACGGGCATAAATAGTCGTTGATAAACAACAACAGAGCCCCCCCCACACATACACACAAAAAAAAGAGCATTAAGTGTGGTTGCCCAAAAGGTCAATGAAGGCAACTAAACCATTAAACGTAACACGTCATGGCTTAGTCATGTGATGGGCGGCCAAAGACAATCACAGCACGTTACCTGCTAGCAATGAAATGAAATCCTTTCCAATAACAGCAACAGCAATAACAACAAATGCAACAACAACTATCAAAGGCATGTTGTTAATGGTGGTTGTCGATGACTCAACTCAAAAAAGGTAAAAAGCGATGAAGAAATGAAATAAAGAAACGATGCACACACACAGCAGAAACAATAATAATAACAACAACAACAACAACAACATCAAGAGGCACATAAACACACACCTGAGCCATTGGTGCACACCTGAGAAACAAGAAATGCATGCAGGTGTCAATCGCAGCGACTTAAAGAATGGTCAGCAGCAGCAGCAGCAATGGAAGCAGCAGCAGAGGAAGCAGCTTAGCCAGCGACCATGCCACATACCGCAGTGCAGCACCCGGGCGCATTACAAATTCACACCAAGTTCAGGGCGATATGCACCCACAGCTGGTCAAGTCCAAGTCCAACTCCATCGATCGCACAAAAAACCACAAAAATTGTTAATGCTGCTGCTGCTTCTGATGCTGCTGCTGCTGCTGCTGCTGGGGCTAGAAAAAGAAATGGTTAATCATTTTCGTATGAATCTGAGCAGCGTGCCTCTGACAAATGTTGCCCGTGGATTGCCAGCATTCCACAGTGTGGTAATACCGATGTCTGCCGCATCAAAATTAACTATTGTCGGTGACAAGCGTAAAAGTATCGCAGAGTATAGGGAATTAGCGATGGTCATATCTAGAGCAAGGTCTGGTAAAAGAAAAACAATTTAATTGTTACTCCGCAGAAAACAGAGAAAATATCTACACTATCGAGGGGTATCAAGGAAATGAAAATTTACTTTCCTCTGTGAAGGGTCTAAGTATGACTTTGTAGGGCCTGAGCGATAAAAAATAGTATTTTTTTTTCCTGATAAATATCACATAGAGCTTTAGAGCATATCAATTATTTTCCAGGGTTTTCAATATTTAAGACTTTCATAAAATTTAATAATTGTCCTACCTATGACTGATCCTAAATAAAAATTAAAGATTTACACAAATATTTAATATTTGTGTGCAGAGTCATTCTTTGTCCAACTCAATTAAATAATTAATGGTTGAACATGCTTTTCTTAGAGTCAAAATTACTTGCAATATCATTCAAATGATGTTGATTGAACTCAGGAAATAAGGAGCACATTAATACTTTTATACATAATGTAATTAATACAATAGAATATATATATTTTTTTTATTTATTTACATATTATTAAATCAGTATTATGCTATAATAAACTATTCATAGGCAAAGCATTTGCACTTCTCAACTTTCAAAAACTATTGTTCTATACAATTCTTAAAGAATGGTTTAGACTTTTCGATAAGAGGTATGGAAAGTGTTACAAGCCACTGATTGCTTCTAACAACTGATTTTTTTTTTGCTTGCAAAATTCACGAATTGCCTAAAATGTTGAAATAATTATGGTGTGAATGATTGCGTGTAAACAATGTGCTGCGATACAAATATTTGGAGTAATTGCAAAACAATTACCGCTTAGAGAAGCATAACCACTGTGCCTTGGGCTAGATGGTCAACTCTCTAATGTCTACCGCTTTATTTGAATGCTGCTGGCTGTCAAACTGTCTGTCTGTCTGTCCCGCTGGCTGGCTGGCTGGCTGGCGTTGGTGCAACACATTAACAAGCGAATGCATTCAAATGAGCTGGAGAGGGACCCAAAAGCCACACAGTGTATCCCTCCCTGCCTCCGTCCCACCCATGCCCCCCGCCCGATCAGTCAGTCAGGCGGTCAGGCTGAAGAGCTGAAATTCCTAGAATTGTGCGCGTCAATTGATTTACTCAGCTGCGTGCCGTTCCGAGCCGATGTCGGTGCTGGTGTCGGTGTTGTTGTTGGTCGTTGTTGTTGGTTGTTGGTGTTGGTTGTTGGTTGTTGGTGCCGGCGAATGCGACGTTTTGTGTGCCTACCAGTTGATAACTATGAGATTTGTTATATTTGCTTCATCATCTCACAAACGAGCCAGCCAGCCAGCCATCCAGCCAGCCAGAGTCAGAGTCAGGCAGCTAACAACAACAACAATAACAACATCATCATCATTATCATCATCATCTGTGCCAAGCATCGTCATAATCATCGATGCCAACTGATGCCGCACACATGTGCGCACATTAAAAAGCAAGTTTCTCAGGTGTTTAAAAGCGTTTAAAAAGAAAACACACACACACACACACATACACATGTAGTAAATACATATGGCAAACCCAGACCGAGGTTGCTCTTAAAGACGACAGCAGCAACAACAACAGCAGCAACAACAACAGCAACAACAACAGCAACAACAACAGCAACAACAATGATGTCGACGAGACAACAATAAACGGAGCCGCAACCAAGAGCCAAGTTAAAAATACTTGGCAAAGCCAGCGTAGAGCCAAGAGCCAGTTAAAGCCATGATCATGATCTCGACAGTTGCGAGTCGAGCCATGAAAGCTGTAGACAGACACAACAACTACAAAAACAACAACAACAACAACAGCAACAGCGCACGTGAAGGTTGCCCAGCATGTTGGAGATTTACTTAACGAAATCAAGAGGAAGCGCGTAGGATCGCCACAATATGTACATGCATTGAGGGGAGGAGTAGGGGGGTGGGGAGGGGGAGTGGAGGCGGCAGAGGGGTGCGCGCAAGTGCGGCTGTTAACCTAGCTGTCATACAGCATTGATTGCTTAAAGGCACCAACAGCACCAACAGCAACAACAACAACAGCAACAACTGTAGAGACCAACAAGCCGTTTGCAGTTTGTGCCTGATTGCTTGTAACTGTGGGCGGAGAAGGAGTGTCGGGAACAAGGGGAACTACAAATACACACACACTCTCCTATTTCTTGATTTTTTTTAAATGCTGGGGCCACTATGACTCAGCGCATTGTTTTGGCTAACGAAGACGACGAGATGAGTCCAATAAGGCACATACACCACTTGGTTGCTGAAATGTTAAGTGCATGTTTTGATTGGTTCGAGCGCACGCTAAGAATAGCCAGATCGCTGAGATTATTGGACAACGGTACTCCATAAAATTGGGGATTGACGACGAACGATAGTGGGAGCCAGCAATTATGGGCTTCAAGATTTGTAAATACGCTTTCAATCCAAAGTTTCAGGACAAGCTAACAAGCTGGTCATCACATACTCGAATGAAGCATTTCCGATATAATACTTGTATTTCAAGGAATAGACCTGTTGCATGCAAATATTTTAGAGTTTAATAATATAAGAGAGTTTAAGTAAAAATTTGAAACCATAATTTAAAAAATCTGTTCCTAATAAATTTTAAGTCTATGCATTTCAATTTAAAAATTAAACTTTAAGTCATGCTTGCAAAACGTTTTTAAAAATACATAATAAAATACATTGACATTTAAATTGAAAAGAAAGGAGTCGTATTTATATAAAAAAAATACAAATTTTAATTATCCTACCTTCTTCATAATACTTATGTACGGGCATATACGACAGTCCAACGTCGTCAAACCACATTCATTCCAGCATATAGCTTTTCATCTTGCTTCTGGAAAATTAGATAATGAAGAACTCAATAACAGATTGCATTAAATATTCGATATATCTTCATGAATATAGAACATACATACTATAAACATCAATCTTATAGGCTAATTAAGACTTGAAGATGATACGCATTTTGAATGAAATCAGATGCTGTTTCAAACAGTAAGCCAAACACGTTCTGACCCTCTAGATTCTCGAACAATGCCAACTTTGTTGGCTATGGCTAATTGCAAGATCTGTGCAACATTTGCGCATTTCAGGAACAATACCTGAGTACCTGAGGAACGAGAGAAGAGATGTGCGCAGCTGCAGACGCCAAGCCAAATGCACCTGGCCCAATGGATATGTGGAAGGGCATATGCAAAAAAGGTGTTAAACCCTTTGCGTTGAGACACGCACGTGATGAATTAAGCAAATTCTGGAAATTCCGTAATTTTCCGGCCAAGTGTGAGGCTGAAAGCTAGACACGGAGAGAGTGCCGGCAAGGCTTTATAAAAAAAAAACAAAAACAAAACCAAAAACTACGCACGCATTAACAAAGACCTGTGAGTTTTCACACCTGTGTGCCAAAATGCACTTGCCGGCACACACACACACACACATAGAAAACACACACACGTCTGTGTGTGTGTGCGTGGAAAAGGTGAAAATCTGTACAAATATTTGACGTGAAGAGAATAGAGCAAAATTTGCATTTGACGATGACGAGGACGGTGGCGGTAAAAGAACAAAAGAAATGCAACAAGCTGGCCAGCAGGTAACTGTTGCTGTTGTTGTTGTTGCTATTGCTGTTGTAGTTGTTGGCCATTGCAGCGGGCAATCATTAACACGTTTATGCTTGCTGCCTTTTCGTTATGCAGTGAATGGCTTGGCTTGGCTTGGCTTGGCTCGGCTCCTCTTGGCTCGGTTGAGGATTAGCATAAAAGGTGCGAAAATCCGGCAAACATTTGTTTTGGCTTAGACACAATCGTGCCGTCAGTTGCTGCCGACAACAACAACAGCAACAACAACTAATGCGGCGGCAAGTTACAAAAAGTTGAAAGTAGTTGGAATGCGCACGTATAGGGGCTTGGAGTCATTTTGGTTTCCCCTCTCTTCGACAAGGCAATGGCAATTGCAATTGGGCACGTTCTCGAGTGACAAAAATGTCAATTTGCATTCAATTTGCAAAATGTTGCATTCTAGAACTTTGCCTCCAAACGGGGCAAATGTGTGTTACTTGAGAACTAGTTACTTAATTAGTTCTTTTTGCAGTTCTGCTTGCGGCAGCGAAAGCGATTAATTACACCCTTATTTCTATTTATTTGATGCATTTAAGCCCCTAGATGGGGAAATGTTGATTAAGTTCAACATGACTTTTTCCATAGACTACAATTATTAGGCAGTTGTAATAAATTATAAATTTCCAAAAACCAAAATTATAATTGCATATAACTTTAAACATGTTTTTAAAACATTTTTTTCAAATTATTTTCAATATTTAAATTTAATATTTTTTTAAAATAATTTTGTTAATATGTTCAGGCAAAATTATACAAAGTTCTAAGAATCTTAGGAACTTTTGAGAAAGTTTCATGATTATAGACTCATTCGATAAATCGTAATTTTATTACCAAATATCCGATTGAATACAAGTTAAAATGTACGCCTCGGTGTTAGTTGGTAGAATTATTTATTTCGATTAATTATTGCATTCTCATTAAGCTCATCCGGCTACTTATAAATTTATACAGTCTTCTATCCTTTGTAAAAACATCCCTTTCGTAGAATCATTTCATCATTTAATTACATAGTTCCGCTAAGTACATAGTTCCTAGTTCGAGAGCCACACTGGGACCCAACAAGAAAATCACAGCAGCTGCCAACCATAACACAGTTGTGGCCAAATGGTAATCAAGGGGCTGAATGGCCGACCTGCCTACGACTTTTCAAGCTCAAGAACACACCTTAAACGTTTTTGGCCTGCTTTTGTTTTTTTCTCGCTTGTTGCTTTTTTGTTTACCTAACTGCCTTACTGGTTTTTCGGAATTCAAAAGTCAGGCGGCAGCAACAAGTTCAACACATAACTTTTAACTCCAACTCCGACTCCGACTCTGCTTCTCTATACATATATATACATATGTATGTATATAAATATATATATAGTATATACGAGTATGGAAGTATAACGACAACTTTTCGTAGACCGCTGGATTCGGTTTCGGTTCAATGTCAATTTCGATTCGTCATCCGCAGCTGCGTTGATTTCTCGAGCGTGCTCCCCCTCCTCATGGCTAGCTGCTGTTGTTGCTGCTGTTGTTGTTGTTGCTCTTTTTATGGCCATGTTAACTTTGGACTTGGCTTTTAACACAGGACCACCATCGTTGACTTCTACTTCGACTTCGACTCCGATCGCAACGCATTTGGCCGTTCGGTCGTTTGGGTTTATTCTACCGTAATTTATTGATGTGGCCGGCCATATATACATACATACTATACTTACATATATGTATAAAAATGTATGTATGTGTGCGAGTGTGTGTGTGGGTTGTTGAAGCAGCCAGGTGGCAGCAGAAGTTGCCGCGCCAGCCATAATTGTCACTTTCAAGCTTACGCCCGTCCTTGCAACAAGTTGAAGCTGCAAGTACAAGCTATTCCCACCACCTCCTACGCGAAATAGGGCAAGTGTGCAGCAGTAGAGTGGTCCTTAATTTGGAATAAGCCAAGCTACACATTTAAAAGGTAATAATTATAATAAAATTGAGCTAAATAAAAGGCATTAAAAGGATGAAAATGTAACAAATTTATAAATAAATAAATAAATTTAAAAAATGATTCAGAAGGTATCGAACTAATAATAACGTTTTATTAATACTCGTTCGAATTCGTTCCTTTTTTCAAAATAATGATGATAATTAATTTATTATTACGAATTTGTCATTCTTAAACATAAAACTCAATCATCAACTTGATATTTTTTTCATACAAATTAAGGTTTTAGGATTACAAATGGGGCATACAAATTTAATTTCAATACTTTAAATAATATTTCCATATATTTGAAACTCTTTAAATCAATACCAAATCCAATACCGAATTTAATTCGAAGCTTTTGGAGCTGATTAAAAATTTAATACATATGTTCTTTATCATTATTAGGGTTCACATCAAATGTTTGCCTTTAATCACAAATTTAATAATTTTAATTATAATAAATTAGTTTTAACTTAATGTTTAATATTGCTATATGAATAGCATTTCTTAATTTAAACTTCTGTATTTTGCTATGCCAGAGATTTTTTATTTTCTTATTAAATAAAATTTTTTTATGTTTTTTCAATCACAGTTTAAACAGATGCAGATGATTTTCTGCAAAGAATTCGAAATATCTTATGCATAAGACTAATTAATAACTCCTGCTGAGCTGTTTCTTTAAAGTCGAACTCTTTTTAAATTTTATGTGTTAATTGGTTTATATGTTTGAAAGAAATCATACCCCCAAAATCAAACTTTTAAGAACGAAGGCTTCATTGCTCATTGCTAAAAGTAATTAAAATTAAGTAAAACGGTCGCCAAAACTATCAACCAATTCGAAATAGTATTAACTATTTCTTTTACTATATGTTTCAAAATCAAGAATCAAAAATGTTAAATGTTAAGTTCCAACAAAAGGGTAAATATGACCAGTATTCCCACAACTACTCTTAAAACCGCAGAACAAAATACAATTTCAGATATGGGAGTATGGTAGAAATATATTTAGAGAAGAATTACTATACTTTCACAAATAAATATCGTATCGTCGATTTGGATAATACAATGATTATACCTTCGGATTTTCCAAAGTAAAGGATTTGTTTTTTGTATGTAAAACCAGAGTATTGAATAGGTGGTTTCTAAATGAAATGAATGAAAAATGTGAATTCCATTTCAATTCATTACAAGCTCAATATTGCATAAGTTCAATAATGGAACATTATCAATGTAAGTATGCTCATATGTGTACTATATATGTACATATGTATAGTACTACATGTATATATGTGCATTTGATGAAGCGACGTAGAAATATAAAGCGAATATTCGAATTTTACTCTCAATAAATAAAAACAGAACGAGTTCTTTGTTTTTATAGGTATGTGCTTGTGTATATACTGTAGGTATGCGTTTATTATAAAAAATACGTCAAATATTAAAAGTGTTACATTTAATAAAATCAAAAATATATTGTATATATTTAATCATTTGTTTGTTGAATCAGTTGAAAATATGGAAGAATACAAATTGTTCACAAACTTAGTTCCAATTTGTGGAACTGGTGCTCACTTGTTCCTGGTCCAAGGCCATTTGTTGTTCTTCTTGCTGCTGCTGTTGTTGTTGTTGCTGTTGCTGAAGCTGTTGTTGTTGCTGCGTCTGTTGCTGCATTTGTTGTTGTTGTTGTTGTTGTTGTTGCTGCGCCTGTTGCTGCAGTTGCTGTTGTTGTTGTTGGACGCCAATGGGGCCCGCTGCCATCGTCTGAAGCAACAGTTCACCCATTTTGGCTCGGAATCCGACATTTTGCAGCGGCGACATTTGTTTCATGAGTGGCAAGAAGCTAATGAGATAATTGTAGTCAGAGTCGCCGACATGCAACACATTCTTGCAACGTGAAATGTCCTGGTTGGTGGACTGCATCAACTTTTGCTCCTCGCGTTCCAGATCCTCCAGAAAGTGGACCTGCTCGTCCACCCGTTTGGCGCAATGGCAACTGCTGGAGGCGGCAACAGACATGGCCGTATCCGGAACGATTGGAGCAGCCATGGGAATCGCTGGCTTGCTGTCTTGCTCCTCAGCGGCGGCGCTGGCCAACGAGATGCTGTGCGAGAGCCGACGCAACGCCTGCGGTGTTGCCACACTTTGAAACTCCTTCATTAGCGCATCATTATCCGCCTCCATTTCGTCAGATGGCAATAATTCAATTTTGAGGGGCATGGGGGACTCCTGGTAATCGCTCATGCCCTCGGCTAGGGTAGCATCACAGTCCTCCTCTTCCTCCTTGCTACTATCCGTCTGGAGACGTTGCCCGTCCAGGAAACACATCGGCTCCGCATAGACCCAGGTGTTTTTAGACTGAGAGCTCCGGCGATGCTGCTGCCGGCGGTAACTGCACCGTAAATTTTTCCACTTGCTGCGACAGATATCCGCTGCAAATGAAATGGACGAATAATTGGGAGTACGAGGATGCCATGAGTACGCGAATTTCACTCTCTTCTTTCTATACCCTGTACGCGAACTGCATATCAAATTTGACCAAACGTATGTAACAAGGCAGAGATGCCCCCATTAAGGTACAAGATAAATTGAGTGTTGAGATGAATCTTTCGCACCTTTTCCTATTTCGTAATTCTTATAGACCTTGCTGTTGAATACTGTATATCTCTATCTCAAATTTATCTGTACATTTTTTTTTCAAATATACATACATATATGCACATACAAATGTAAACGAAAGCTTTCACACCTGCTCTGTATACACTGTGCTTACTTATATTTAAATTTAAATCGGTTTCGCTTCTCTATTATGCCTTTCTTTTGGGTGCAGGGTATTTCACTGCCGACCTTGCGCAACTGTAATTGTCTCTCTTCTTTATTGCTTGTTTGCTGCTCTCACCATGAACGCCTAATGTTTCGGCTACGCTGTTCCATAGTCGCAACGTCTCATTGCGGTTCGCATGGTCTGGATGTGTCGCATCCCAGAGGGCAGGTCGATTTTTTACCTCGGCAATCAAACTATTTACGTCCATTTCGTTGCCTTTTTATCAGCGCACTGAATAACAAACAACAGCAGAGTAAAGCGCACACACGCACACCAACACCAACAACGACAATAAACAAGACAAGAACAGACAGAATTGCAGGCCGCGCACTTGCAAGCCGTTGTGTGACTCGTGAGAGCAAGTTACTCTCTTTTATGCGCGCTCTCGCGCTCGAATGATGCCAAAAAGCATATGCAATAAACAGAGGCGGCGACTTTAAATGCGCCTGCTTTTTAGTCTCCTCGTCAAGGCCTCTTGCTGCACGCTTCTGTCCTTTGCCATTTTTGCCTTGCTCGCATGTTTGCGGGCTTGTGCTCTGTTCTGTTCATATTCTCCCATTCCAGACATTGAACTTCACAGTGCGTGGGCACAGTGGTCCCAAATTAGTGCCACCAAGCGAAATTATGAAATGCAAGCGTGAAACACACAAGCATTTTACAAGTTCAGTTCATTTGCAAAATACTTGCGGAGAAAGAAATTATTGGACTTCAGATGTATGTATAATTGCTAAAACTGAAGCTTTTTATAATTTAAATAAAACAATAATTATTATTTGACTTTTTATAATTAATTAATTAATTAAATTTATATTAGAATGGGAAATTAAACATTTTTTATTCCTCCAAATATACATAGCTATAGAAATAATTAAATACTTGAAAAGAGGAATATAGGATAATTAAATATTGCTTTTGATTAGAGCAGACGACAGCTCTGTATTAGTGAGCACTTTTTTTAATGGAGTGTTCCATACGAAAGAAGGAATTAGAAGAAACAGAATGTTAAAAAAAACACCATTAACGTTAAAAAATCATAAACAAATTTTTATTTATAATGTTGGGAGAATATTTGGGGAGCATATAGCTTCAATAACGATTTGGATATGATTATAAAGAATTTGAAATAATTATTTCAATGTAGTTTTTTAATACAATAGATATATGATATGTATAGATATTTAAAGAATAAAGAAAACAATCTATTAAGTAAATAATTTAACGATAAATAAATAATTGAAATAATGTACTCCTAGGTGAATATTGGAATCAAAAAAGAATATTCATTTGTAATATTGTAATATAAATATTGTAATAATACACAGCTAGCCGTCGCCTAACACGGCTTCTTTTAAAACGACCTCAGTCTAACACGATTAAAAATTTGCTACCTTTTCTCTTTTAACACTTCATTCACTTCATATTACTTCAACTGACTGACTGCCGGACCTTAACTGACTGTCTCGTTTAACATGAGGTTTTCTATTGATAAAAATATATTGATATATAATACAATCTTTAGTCAATATATAGATTTAAAGAAAAAACAAAAAGCAGCACTTTAAAGGGAATAAAGAAATGAATGAAACATAATTGAAATATTTGATATGAGTACGGCCAAGTAATATCAATATTTATTCATGTGTAGCGTTAGGCAGCTCTCTTCGGATCAATATTCTTGATAAATACATATTTGCGAGACAATTTACTCAGATACGAATGGCAAATGCATAAACATTAAGTTAACTAATTTGCACACATTATCAGGAAACTTCAAAATATTTGCACAGACCGCCCGCCAGTTGCAGCAACATGTTGCTGATGGCTGTGCCGGCAACAGCGGCAACAGCAACTTTGGCTGCTGGAGTTGCTGAGAAGGAGCAACATGTGCAGCCGGTTGGTCGAGCGGCGGCGACAACAAGTGGACGTTGAAAATATGCGACAGCAATTATCTTGGCAACGACAAAACGTGCCAGCCATAACCATATACGATATAGGCGCATACTTACCATATACATATGTGTGCATATATAACAACGCTGGCCGGGATTTGTGCACGACTTTCGCCTCTGTTACAATTTCTGCCCTCTGTTGCTCTGCTGCTCTGCTGCTCTTACTGTTGCAGCTGCTGTCAATCTGTTGTTGGCCGTTTTAGCTACTACGCTTTCGAAAAAACAAAACACCGAACCAAAATACAAAAAATGCGAAACAACCAAATATTTCCATGTGTCATTTCAAAAATGCAAATATGGACATGATCTGGTGCTGATGCTGTTGCTGGTGCTGGTGCTGGACGTGAATGTGGATGCAATGCGCAATGTGTGCGTTGTCTGTTGACGGCCGGCACAACGTTCAGAGGAGCTCAGCCGTCAGAAGTCGCAGCAGCAGCGACAACAACAATAACTACAAACTAAACGGCTCAGACATGCTCAGACTTGGCTGACAGTTAAGTGACGTCTAAATTTTGTACAGCGAAATGATTATAAAGGCATTTATGCATGCGTATAGCAACCATAACAACAGCAACAGTGGCCATATGTAGATATACATACGATCCTACAGTTCAACTGCTTTACAAAGAATCTAGCCTGGGTTTCCACAGAGCAAATGCCATCGAGCGAAAATTGTCAAAGAAAATCAACCTTTGATAATGATATATCCATTTACAACATAGCTCTAAGAAAATTTTAATATTTGATAGAGGAGATCGGTTCATAAGCAGTATGATCCGATAGACTAATAATTTGTACACATAAATATAATATTATTTTCATGATATAATAAGCATATAATAATTCAATACTTAAATATATGTAGTTTTCTACTTCAACAAGATATTAGTGTGGGAATTACGTTTTAAGGCATATTTGTAAAAAAAAACTATATTTAGGTTACTATAGTTTCAGAATTTTTGATTGCAATTGAATTATGTGGCTGTATTAACTTCCTGGAGGTATACTTAAATAGTTATCAGAAATTATAAGTATTATTCCAGTAATTGCTATTCAGGCGAAAGTGATTAGGAAGCCATTCTTAAGAACTAAGTTGACCTCGCAGAATTAGGGGTTACAAAACTTTGCTAAAGAGTCACAAATTATGGATTATATGAGAAAGTGTAATACGGGTAATCACAATAATTGAATATATTGTGTAGTGTATTCATATGATTATGGCATTTTCTCTCTCTCCATTATGTACCGAAAAAGTCCAGAAAGAAATATGAAACTTCAATGCTCAGTTAGTAGCTTCTAATCATTCATTCGCTATTCAGAAGTTTGCCTGTAGATGCATATTTCTAGTCATGTTGCTGTTGTTGTCTGCGCCTGTTGCCGCAACTTGTTGCCTGTTTGTGTATCAATAAGATTGTTGCTGCTGTTGTGACGGCCACAATTGATTTGTTGCCTCTAACTGACGGCACTGACAGACTGATGGACTGACAGACTGACGGACTGCCGGACTGACTGTCAATTGTCAATGTTTGTATTCAAATTTGTGCTTTGCAGCATTTCACAAATATTTATTGTACCAAGGGCCAAGCAGCGTACAATTTATGATCGCTTTGTTCGCCTCCTAAGCTTTGCATATCAGATCGACAAGAACAGCAGCTTTAGTGGCAGCTAATGAATGCTTGCAAATCGCATATGACATGATTATGTTATACTTGTAGTTCTGATTCCAACGCTCGTATAAATGAGTGAATTGCAAATTATAATTGCTGTTAACGGCATTTAAAGCTGTCCATAAAATGCTGCTGTCTTTGGTTATGACTAATTTGCATAATTATGCCGCTTATCTGTTGGCCATAAGTCAAGCAGCCGATGAGTCACACCTGTTGCCGCTGCTGCTGTTGTTGCTGCTGCTGCTGCTGTTGTTGTTGGTGGTGGTGTCGTTGCATGTTTGTTAATTTGGCTGCTTGTAAAGGCCATGTTGCTGCCGTTGTTGCTGTTAATTGTCAGCAACATAAGAATTGTACAACTGTCTAAGCTTGGCATGTTGGCCGCTGTCAGCAACAACAACATAATAAATCGCTGGCAGTCTAGGAAGATGAAAGGGGGAGTGAAGGGGGGGGGGGGGGAAGGGAGAAAGAGACAACAAACAGTTAGTTGATGTTGACGCACTGCACTTGGAATCATAAAAACTGCCAACAAATTGATTGCCAATCAACAACATGAGCACGACAGCAGCCATGTTGCTATGGCTGTAGATGTTGTTGCTGCAACAATTGCAGGTGTCAATGAATGTTGCAAATAAGGAAAAGCTCGGCAAGCAGCAAACAAGCGTGGAAAGCCGCTGCCCGTCGCAGAGAAAGAGCAAAAAAGTTAATTGGCAAATGCCAATTGCTGCTAATGTGGCCAGTTATTATGTCAAACGGTCAGCGGCAACATTTTTCAATGAGTTGTTGCCAGACTTGACTCTCGTCGGACTCACTCCGACTGTTCGATTCTTCAACTGTTTGTTGTGTGTGTGTGTGTGTTTGGCTTAATTGAATCTGCCGGCTGGCAATTGTCACGCAGACATCGCCGCATGTTGCCAATGCCAACCAAATGCAGTTCCGCAGTCAAATAGTTGCTTGCAGCTGCTACTCTCAACTAACGCAGCCAACTATTGCGACCAACAGTCGATCAATCGGATGAACAAGTGAGCACAAGCTGTGTTACAGTTTGGCGACCCACACGAATCTAAGATTCACAATCCCGCCACCGCTGCACCGCTGCACAGACCCACCTCCCCACTTCCACAGTCCATTTGCGCCAAATGAAAGATGTCTATGGCGGGCACACGAAAAAATTCCGATAGCAATTAAAAATATTTACAACGCAAATGCAACTGCAACTTCAGCTCGGATTCGTGGATGACCAGCTGCCCCACGGCTACACTCAGAAAAAATAAATCAATTATGCAAATTTCGAACATTTTTGCCAATTTTATTAATCAACTTTTTTATACCCTGTACCCGTAGGGTAAAAAGGGTATATTAGGTTTGTGCAAAGTATGTAACATACAGAAGGAAGCATCTCCGACCCCATAAAGTATATATATTCTTGATCAGCATGACGAGAGAAATCGATCTAGACATGTCCGTCCGTCTGTCCGTCTGTCCGTTCGTCTGGATGAACGCGAGGATCTCAGAAACTATAAAAGCTAGAATAACCAAAGTTGGCATCCAGATTCTCCTAGGTCCGAGTAAGGACGAGTTTATTTTATTTTTTG